TTTCAGGATTAAGAAACGATAAGCTGAACACTCCAGGCTAGGAGCAACGATACTGATTCAAAAGCACTGCTCTACATATTACGAAACCATACTTTTGCAGTCAGTTGAAAGCACTGACCCAGGTGCCGTTGTAATATATCCTCGAGGGCAAGCAATGCAAGAAGTTTGTCCAGCGCGAGGTTGGTACTCATCAGTCATGCACAGTTTACACGTGTGACTTACTGCATCATAATAGGAGCCCGGCGCACACGGTACTGTAATGTAGTTAATACAACTCGCTTCCATCTATGAGGCGATAATTAGCCGAATACTTTTGCTACTCTCTTCAATGGCACTTTTCAAAAGAAACGTCTGTCGCTGTTTTACTGCACAACCGGACCTTAGACAGGCGCAGACTTTCCATTGGCCAACATGGGTACAAAGCAGTGAGCGACTGCGGTTGCAAAGTAAACCAAAACATTTTTCGTGAAAGCAAAAAGTGATTTCGTGGGGAAGACACTGAAAATCCAGCAAATTGGGTTCTTTATGCATGTGCCCCATTGTGAGATGATAAAAGCGAGTGAGAACAATTGCCTATCCACGTAAATTCATTCGAATTCAGCTGCTCTATTTTTTTCATACATATTATTTCCAGCATGCCAGCAGCTTGTGCTCGCAACCACATCTAGACGAAACACACCGCATGTTTCCTCCAGTCTGCTAAAGGCCCGTAAAGCACCATGCTCAAAAACTATCCATGTATTCGCATTCAGCTCCTCCCTTCTCCCACGTTTGGCTCGAATTTGTGAGATTATACCAACAAGGGCAGAGTTTTGAAAACTAATTTTTGCACCCTTCATGTTAGGACTGCTTATGTCTAACGACTGGATTTTTATGGATGTTTGGATTAAAAACAGGGGTAGTTTAGCAAAACCAGCGGAAATACGACTTACCGCACAGGCTGCCAACGTTTACAGTGCCTGCTTCGCAGATGTACCTCTCTTTTAATTCAAAACTGTTCAAATCTGGTCGACCATTGGGAAGTACCTCAAACAGTATGAAATTTAATTAATATTGTGAAATTTTCATCGAGTTCCAAAAAATCTTCTAGAAGATGTAGCAGAATTATGTCATCACCAACCTGTTCCAAATTGAAAATGTTCTTTAACAGGATTTCATTTTCCAGCACATCAGATACTTTCGCTTGTTGTCCTGTTTTGCGGTTTTCCAGAATATCCCTAAAAGCAATAAAAAAAAAGCTAAGCCTGAATTTTTACACTGGCTACATGCGTTAATCTGGCCCCTTATAGCTAGTTATGGAAATGCAATTCAACTGTTTGTTCGAAATACTCTAATTTACTTTGATCTCACGGTATAAAGAGCGATGCTACATATTGACGCACCAACCCGTCCCAG